GAGGGCAGCGGTGGGGGGCGATGTTCTTGGTTGTAGGTAGAGTCTTGCAGAGCATCATTGGCGATCTCTGTGTCCCGCCCCTCGCTATAGGTTAGCAGTACCAGCGGAGGGGTCTTGGGTGGAATTGTGAAATCCCCGGTTGGCCAAAGGGGCCACGGGCGATCCCAGGGTGCCCAGAGGCCCCATTTGAGGTTGTTTTGTGTGTCCACGTCCGCTATCTTTCGCTGTGGGTCAAGCCATATGTCCTTAAATGTGTTCACTTCATCGTCCCTTTGCTGTTGATCTGTGATGGTGGTCAGCGACTCTTTAAGTGACTGCCATGCTTTTATAATGTTGGCCTGTATGGTTTGCGTGATTTCTGTTTTGGCTTCGGGTAGACCAAAAGTATGTTCGCGACGCTCGAAGGCGCATCTTGCTCTCCATATGGTCATTAGGACAGGTAATCTTGTGGTTTGATACAGTTCATGTTCGAACGCTGTCCAATCACAAGTCGTGAGTTGCGGAGATCCAAGCAGAATTGCACTGGGTTGCCACGGTAGGTCTTTCCCAGTTAAGGATCTCCAGGCTGCATCCCACCATCTCCATATCTGTTGTGCCATGGGGCACTCCAGCAAGCAGTGTTCCAGGTCCGCCCGTCTGGGGGGGAACGACCTACCACAGTAGGCACAGATTGGAGAGAGGAGTCCTTTCTGCTCCAGTCGCGACCTAGAGACAAGCCAGTCTGGTGTTGGAAGGCAGCGATGCCATATCTGCCATTGCAGTGCTCGGAGCGAAGTTGGCATTATTTTGGCGAGTTTGGTCCAGTCAGGGACCGGGACTTGGTGATCCAGAAAGGGCGAGTCTCTGATCCAGTGACTCCTGAGGCGTTCGTTCATAGGTGCTTGTGCGTGGGTCGATCTGTAGCAGTCCTTGACTGTATATTGCCAGATCGGTAGTTATTTCTTGCCTTCCCATGGCCATTCTGCTGGGTCGAATGGAAAGGAGCAGATGGGTATTGTAGGTTGATATGCCCAGTGGCCTTTTTCTTCATCCCCTACCATTCTGATCCTTAGCAGTTCAGCCCACCTTCATTGTCTGTCCAGATCCTCATTCCTGGTAAGTTTGGCGAATTTGGACCTGGGCAATGTCGTTTCATATTCTTGCAGGGCCGCCTGTGTTCCGCTCGTGTGTTGCACTTGGAACATGACCATAGGGATTGGTAGAGAAGAATGCTGGATTACCCAGTCCTCTGCCCTGATCTCCTGGCCTCTTTTCAGTGCTAGGACCCATGACAGGGGAACTGCCTCCTGCAATTCGGATAATTTCTCTTGTAATTTCTTGGTCTCTCTCTCTCTCTCTCTCTACTGCCGTCGTGAGATCATTCACCTGTATCGAACTGCCTGGCTCACACCACCTTCTTCATTTTGTCATATCTGTATTAAGACTAAAAGACACCGAAAATACAGCTTTAATGACCTCACGTGAAGAAGGTAGTACTTGGGAGACTGTATTCTAGCGTTGTAACAGTTGCCCTTTTCTACGGTTCTTTTTTTTTTTTCAGCTACTGGTTCCTCAAGGCTCGGCCTGTCCTGCTACTGGTACTGCAAGGCTGGGCAGGCTCGGCATACCAGTCGCCCGAGGTTTG